AGCATAGTTCCCTTGAAAGAACCCGTCAGTCTTCTTCTGCAGAGGCAACGATGCAAGTCTCCTCGCATAGTCAGGCACCAAGTATCTACTCCCTCTTGCATTTTTTTTGCACAATAGAGAGAAATGAATTATTTATCCTGGAGATACGTTGCACAGATCAGCTTCTTCCTCTGCATTTAAACCTCCTAACCTTGCCCTGCATCGAAGTGGCTGGGAATGCACTACTTCACTTCAAAGTAATTTCATTTTAATGAGCACACCCCTCTGAGTGTACATTTTCCAAACAAAAATCATTTCAAAAGAGTGTATTGAGAGTGCTTTCTTCATTAAAATCAAAACACTTTGAACTGAAGGAGCACACGCCAAGCCCCGTTGATGCCAAGGTAGCAAAGCCAGTTTGAATCCACACATATAAGGGATGTGCAGGAGATTAGCCAGATGTTCATTCACTCCTCCTAAGAAACTGTGATGTACTAATATGCCTGCCTGTGCCTACAATCACATGAGTACTGTTGGCTACACACCAAATAAAGTAAAAAATCACTGATTTGCACATTGGGAATCTGCAGATCCTTAAATTTATACTTATCTGGGCAATACTTGTATGTAAATATTATGACATTCTTAGACTATCTTTTGAAAACTGAAATTCTTCCATATATAACAAAGCATTTGATTGTTCCCAACTAAGCATTTTCTTGAGCAAAAAATACATAGATATAAAAACTAGAAGAAAGTTTTAGAAAAAAGCTTGTGACACACTGTAGGATTCAGCTGGCTAAATTTAGGACACCAACATCTTTGATGTTTGTCTGAGCGACTCATTCTGGTTTCCTCTATGGCACTTGAAAAGCAACACCTGCACTGAGGGCATGTGGTTTACCTCATCCTGGGGCAGATGTCTAAAAGTGGCCTAAAAGTGCCTGTTTCTCTCCACGGACTCTAAAGGGGGCCAAATGTGAAAAGCATTTTTTCCGTATCAGAGGGGGAATGCCTATATTTAGATATCTAATGGTAGGGGTGATGGATCCTCGCTGCAGAGTTAGAAGTCAGGATATATGTTCTTGTGCTGATACTATAGTTGTGCTCCAAAACATTCATCTCCAGTGATCATAATGAATACAAAGTCTAAAAAAAAAGAGAACATGAAAAAGACCTGACATTTCAGCCTTTGTTTTTTTCATTTCATTTTTAATAGCTTTGGGTTTTCGGCTATGTGTTTATATCTATATACACTTTTTCATTATTTGAATAGACACATAGTGTTCTAAGGGCTGATCATCACTTGGAATATGCAAAATACAGAAAATAATTGATTTAATGAACTTAGGAAGGTAAAGATGTTACTCAAAAGGTAAATTTTCCAAATGTATTGAATTCTTTGAATGATAATGCATATATTTTTCCAAACTGGTTCCTTGAAAGTCAATACTCTAGTGTTTCACTAGTAAGATGGAAATGAAATTTAAAAGAAGTAATGTTATTTTACAATGTGAAAAAACTTCAGGTTTATATTTTCCAAAGTGTCCTCTAATTCTGCTGGTTCAGTTTTATGGCCAGAAAGACTAGCATCTACCATAAAATGAGTGGACAAATAAGAACCACTGTATGTATATCAATATATTGTATTTTACTGGGTGTCCAGTTGCAAACAGTTATGCCTGCAATGTTTTTGAGGCTTGAGGTGTTTGTGGGTTCATAATTACACCTCAGAAATCAGAAGCTGGGTTTGAATCTTAGCTAAAAATGTGGCACACAACATCTTGGGCCATTCTGGTAAGATGATAAATTCTCTAACCGCTGTGTAAGCTATTCTAATTATTATGTTCTTAATAATTGCTGACCTTAAATTTAAAAATTAAAAAGGAAGAATTGTGTCAACACAGGTCATAACTGCCTAAGTGCATTTTACTCACATTGTAGTTGATAATTAATAGATAATTACATGATAAAAATAATAGTAGTATGCTAATTCCAGAGAAAGCACCTGGAAACAAATGGAAAACAGTGGAGGAACCCAACTCCCTGTACTATGCAGAAGACATAAAAAGAGGCCTCCATCACCTGTCTTGAGACTCCTCTGTTTTGTCAGAAAAATGAAAGGGGAACTGCGCCTCTAGAGCAGAAAATCCATGCGCTTTTCTGTTGGGTTTGGGGTGGGAGAGCAGTATGAGCTGATAGGAGAAGGAGGCTTCCTACTGCTCAGGATCTTCTCCGTCAGAGATGGTCTAGTCATGCTCTGTCTGGAAAAACGTGGGCAGAATGACCTTGAATGTCCTGCTGCAGGTTTTGCTGCTCCATAGTGGCTGACAAAGCCTTGTCTGTTGAAAGGTCTTGAAATCTTCTCAAATTATATTGTACTGGACATCACAAATATTTTGAAATTAATCCCTTGCTCTCCCTTTATTTTGTTTCTGGCAGCAATAGAAGTTAATCCAGCTGGTCAGTTCTAGCCAATAGAATTTGGGGGCTTTACCTCAATCCATGCTTCTTACACACTGCATACATAAAAACACAAACACATTCTTTATCTGGCTGGATCTGTTTATCTGGATCTGCTGGAGACTCTGATTTTCTTCTATGTAGAATTTTTTTCATGTTCCTATCTTCAGTTCATTGCAGCACATCCTTATCAAAAGAGGAAGTAATGCTATATAATCAAGTAGTGTTGAGAACCACAAAGGCAGACACAAAAGCCAAAAGAAATCCTTTCATTTCTGATCTACCCTAATATCTGTGGGTTTTTTTCCTAATACATGGTATTATGCTGGGCTCAGTTAGGTTTAATAACGTAAACTGTTTACAGCTTTCTGGACAAAAACACAGTTCTCTAAAGCTAGTATGTTTACCAAGTTAGAAGAGACTGAATATTTACTACCATATTTTGTTATATTTTATTACATTTTCTACTACATACTTACTAGTCTCTTCTGAGCATAAAAATGATATACAGAATGGTGATTCAGATTTGGTATCTATATCCCACCTGAGAGGTAAGCTTAAAATATGATACAAATACAGTTAAAAAAATGAACTCTAAAGAAGCAGTACATTATACTCATAGATTTTCACGCACATTTTCCAAAGTGGCCTCAGGAATTGGAACTCTGTGTAAGATGAAGAAATTATTGTCTCAATTTTTACAACTTAATTAAGGTCTCATTTTTTTAGGTCTCCTAGATGGCTTTTATCACCAATGGAAAGAAAGAGGCATCACCAGAGAGCAACTTAGACCTCAGGTGGAGTGGATGGTATGGTGGCAGGTATGTCTGTTTCCTCAGGGAATTACAAACCTCCCCTAGATATCTCACCCATATGTCTAAACTTAACTGGGCTGGATTTGAGTTTCTATATCTGACAGAAACTATCTGAAAGACAGTATTGCAGATAGGTAGGAGAGGACACTACTGGAAGGTGAATTTGGCTATCCTGCTTCTGGAGTTGCATTAAATTGCAGAACTCCCGTGCACCGCCTAAGACCTATTAACTACCAGACCTGAGCTGAGGGCAATAACTTCTTTAACGACGCAAATTTGCTTTGAAAGAGCCTGCCTGTCTGAGCACTGGGTGGGCAAGCACTTGCATTGTCTTTTAGAAATCATTTTGAAAATGTATCCCAAGATTATACATATTCACTTTAACAACAAACAACAAGTGGATACTACTTGATTGTTTGCAAAGCCCCACACTAAATTTTTCAACTAGTTTTTTCAATTAAATTATGTCTTGTAAAAACTTCTGATAGTACACACACAATATAAACAGCAAAGGAAATATTTAACTTTCAACACCTGTAAAGGCATCTCCCGAAAAGAAACTAAGTTCTGTTCTTCTGCCCAAATTCTCCAGTCGATACACACATAAAACTTCAACTGCATTTTAAAAGAAATATCCACAAGTATCCCCTATTCTATGAAATATCTGCTACAGTTCTGTGTCTAACAGTTGAAAAATCAGGTAAAGTTACAACTTTACACAGACGGGTCCAAACATTGTAGATTAATAGCTAATGGCTTCAAGTTTACACATACAGTAGAGGTTTTTTCCATCCGTAAGTTCTTTCACAGAATAAGTACCATATTTTTCTCATTTGTCTTTTTGTTTCCCACCAAATGCTACATTTCATAACATTTGAAATGCTGGTGAAACATATTTCCAGTTCTTAAGGGGGCCCAAGTATGAAATCAAGGCCACCTCACTGGTGGTTTTGCACAAGCAAAGGCTCAGTAGGAATGGCAGTGTTTGATATTTAGCTCTTAAGAAATGATGTAAATAGCTTTCATCGTTATAATGTTTAAATCTCGCAGACAGACTGCAGTAATGGACTGAATCCCTTTTAAATGCTTTTCAGTTCACTTTTGCAATCTGACTGGAATCCAGGCTACTCCACATGCAGTCCACCTGTACCTATTGCACACACCAGTTGTACCAGTGCCTGCACACACATGCAAACATACAAATGTGTATAGAAAATAAATCAGTAAATGGTGAACTATTGGATGGAAGAATCCAAGATTTACACTAGTGAGAGTAGAATCAGACCTATCATATCTGAGACAGATATTATATCTGTCTATATCATATCTGGGACAGATATGATTGCCAGCAACAAAATGGTAAGTATTTTCAACTACATGTGCTTGCAGGTAGGGTCAGTGATTATCATTTGTATCTTGCAGGAAGAGTTTTTCTTCTCATAGCAACACGGTATTTTCCAGTGGACTTTACCTGGTAGGTCACAAAATCCTTGGCAGTTGTGTGGAATGTTAAATCTGCAGAACTACACAGTTTCCTACAGACTGGCTCTGAAACTTTAATCTTGTTTTCTAGGTATAAACACTTCTGATAATAAGAAAAATATGAACAGCAGTGTATGATCCCAAACAATAATTTATACAGAATTAAAACATTAGCTTCACCCCTTAGACACAGGACTCAATTTGTTGTGTTATCATATAATTAGAACAACAGAGCATGCAATTTGTTTATGCACCACTGACCTCTAAAGAGCTCATGGATATTGTGGATCCAGTTTCACTTCTTGATAATCCTGCATTGTCATCCAGCTCCGAGGCAATAAAATTCTTCACTGCTGTGCGAGGCTCAAATGGTAAATTCTGCATATGTTCTTGGGTGGGAAGATGCTGGTCTAAATTGATATTAAATTGGTCCATTACAGAGGGATTCATATTAAACTCTGGATTAACTTTGTAGTGCAACAGCCTTTCATGAGGCAACGTATCCATGCCTATATTCATTTTGCTGTCATCTTTCAGTGATGGCTGGGTATTTACGGAGCCCCGGGGCATGACTATATAGTCGCTTTCTATCATCCGTTCTTGAGGATGGACTATGTCCATATCTGCACCTCTCAAATTATCATCAGTGCATAAATACACAGTCCTCCGCAGCTCGCTGTTGTCCTTTTTCAAGCACTGGTTGGCCAGTTCACTCATACTCATAGGCATATGGAGACCTGTTGGTTGCTGGATGATGACTTTGGAGATGATGTTTCCGGGCAAGGTAGAATAGCTCATTCCTTCAGGGTTTGGTCCCTTCTCCTCCTCTTCATCATTTAGTGAAATTCTAGAAAGCGTTCCTGTTATAGTAGCTGCTCTGCAAGGTCCAATGTCTTTATGCAGAACTGTGGGTCAGAGAACAGAACTCTCATAACCTGAAACCACGTCTGCCTGGCACTGCTTTTTCTTGTGGCTTTATTTAGCAGCACTCCCTTTACCAGTGCATCTTCTTAACTCTTTTTCTATCCATTTAATAACTTTTATTCTATAAGTATTGTTTTGAGAAGTTGTGGGGTTTGTTTGTTTTTAAATCAACATCTCTTAATCTACCGTGTTTAACTGATACAGATCTCTGACTAAGCCTCAGTCATTTATATAAATTAGAAACACTCCCTCCTTTATTCCTACTGCCGTACATAGAACTGAGGTGACCTACAGCTTAAGCAAAAGCCTGCCATGTGGAACTCAATTAAGGGTTTTCCAAAAAAACACACTATGACATCTGTACTGCCATTATTAACTCCACATAACCTCCTCGAAAATGTCAAACAGATTGTATGGCAGAATCATTTTGTCAATCTATTGTAACGACCTACCATAACGTTATAACTATGAACACATCTTCCTGAGCTCCTAAATGTTCCTTTTCACTGACTTTTTTAAACTCTTCTGTGTTAAATTATTTTTTAAATAAAAAGTGACAAAAAAGTAACCACATTGGGAAGAAATTCCATTTGGTATCATATTTTGCGGCATTTGAAAAGGTTATAAAGAATATAAACATATCTCATAAAACACTCATAATCCACTTTTGGTGTAGGCCTAGACCTTCTTGATCAAACTTGTAGCAACATCCAACAATTTTTGTTGGGGTAAGATCCACACGTAAAAGTTATTAATCATGCCATAGAACACAAAATTACCAGGAGCACTGAAGGATGCGTTCAAAAGCAAAGCATCTATTCAAGCAGAATTTTTGATCTTAAAAAATAAGTCTATAATTCAACATTTGTAATGAAAGAAAAAGGATAGATAATAATAAGAAAAAAAAATGTAAGTAATTAATTACTGGCCTTATTGAAGCTGGGTGCAAGGATATTCTTGTCCCAGTTGAAAATATTTTAATTCACACCAGTGCTAGTTTGTGCAATAAAATCCAGCGCATGGACTGAGACGGTAAGACAACTTGAAGTATCTCAGGGGTTACATTTACATCCCTTTTGGTAGCCTGAGGGCTCTGATGACCCAGATCCCCCGGTACCTGTCAGTTCACTGCCATGTTCCATAGCAAGCAGCTCAGAAGGCAGCCCACTCTCCCACCTCACACAAAACTGCCTCTCATTTTTCCATTACAAAAAGAACGATTTGCCTTTGAACAGCAGTGCACAAATACCCGCCTTCAGTGTGGCTGTTTCCTTCTTTCCAGTGACACTTGTTAAGACACGTCAACCAGTGACCTATTCTTAAATCTTTCATTAAAAGAAACCGAGTTTAAATGTTTATCTAGTAAAGCCTGTGCATAACTGTACCCAAAGCCCACCTCCTGAAGGCTGGCCCTGATAAGGCTCTCGGTACGGCAGAGCTCTGCTGGCACAGGTAAGAAGCGGGAGCTGCAGGGACCAACGCGGGGCTTTGGGCTGCGCTGGGTGGTGACAGCCATGCACTGCTGTTACAGCCTGCTACCCTGCTCCCTTCAAAATACAAAACTAATCCATATGGAAGAATTATTGCCATGTTGCAAGAAACTGAACTGGCAGTTTTTTAAAGGTGGGTGTCTGGAAACTCAAATGAGATGAGCCTTCTTGGCTCCCCATCTAGCCAGTGTCCTCCAGGGAGGGTGATGGAGAACTGCTGAGTCAGGCTTCTGCCCGGCCTCACCCCGTGCAGAGGAGACCCTCTCTTTTCCTCTCTCCTCACTGCAAACCCAGGGTGTCTGGGCTGGATTGCCTCCCTAGGTAAGACTGTCCTTCAGGAATGCTTCCTAGATTTAAAAAATTCTATAGGTTTTAAAGGGTCGTTTATTTTACACTGTGCTTTATTTAAGCAAGGTTGATAAATAAATTGCTTAAAATGTGTTATTTTTATTATGCAGAAACAGACAGAGGTGACTCATTAAAGACCACATTACTGAAATGCCTTAAAAAACCCAACTAGTTCTGATAAAGTGGAATCAAATTTCATTTTCCTGATACCACGTTGTTTAAGCTCCTATTGATTTCACTTAGAGCCTCTTTAAAACTAAACCAATTGATGTATCCTTCTTATACACAGTTTTTAAGATATACTATATCAATTTTTATTTATTTTTTTTTTTGGGTAGCAAAATGACTGTAACTTTTGCTTGTGTACCAATGCAAGGAAAATTTTGTGTGTAAGACTGATCTTCTTCTTTCCAAAACCATTTGCCTTCTAATAGGCAATGATACCTTTGGCTGGTCTCAACTGCTGAATTCTAGTAAAAGGCTTTTGTAAGAAAAGGAAATAAATGTATTCATACAGTGGCATCACTTTTTTCTTAACATTTACAAATATGTGTTTTAAAAAATTAAACCCTGGTATTTTTCTGCTTTTCACTTCCCAAGGAACTAGTACAAGACTTCTTTTTGTTGGCTAAATAGTCTCCCAATGTTCTTACCTGACCGACAAGCAATGTCCACGTCCTTTTCAAAATCAGTCTGTAACAAGAAACAATGAAACAGGACAATCATTATTAATTGAAAACTAAACCACAGTATCTTTTTGCCAACTAGCGCTTCCAAAATGTCCTACTTACAGAGTCATAGTCTCTTAAAAGTGGTTTCTTGTTGCTGAGAAGGTGAAGTGTATTGTTTTACAACAGCAGAGCTTTACAAAGTTTCCTAAAGTATAAGAGGGTGGTTTTCAAAGTATGCTGCCTGACCAGAAAAAATAAAATAAAATAGGTGGAAGTAGAGTATATAATTTTAATAAAACGATACAGTGTATAGTTTTTTATGTATATGGAAGAGTAACCTCTACATCTCATGGAAGGATCATCTTTAAGGAAGTTTTTGATAATAATTTTATAAACGGAAGTATGGAAAATAGCCTGCTATACAAATTACTGCGAATAAGTGTAATCTACCCTGTCTGAAACTTCATTAATTTGTTATGAAGTGGTTATTTGTTATATAGCATTCTGTCCATCCTTGCTACTAATGTAATCACGTAAAGTGATTTACAACAGTAAACAACTACTATTTATTTCATTGGGCAAAAATGAATTGTAAGAGCTAAGAATGAATTTTAACAGTTGAAAATCCAAGCACACTTTTCCCAGTTAAGCAAAACTATTTATCCTGTTATAGAATTCAAGTTTAAATTATGTTTTTATTTCCACAAAAAGTTTATTACTAGAAAAATACTTAATAAAACTGACCTCCTTCTTTCTTCTGAAGATCAAACATTGGATTCTTTTTTGATTCATCATTTTTTGAAGGGCATCTGCTTGTTCAGCCTTGCATTTTTTTAGGGCCTGATCCTGTCCCCATTATAGTCAATGACAAACTGTCACTGAAAGTGAAGGGGCCAATATTTTGTCTTAATATACTACCTAACAATATTAACAAATCCAAGTTGGCATACTAAGCCATTCACGATCTCCTTAATTCAAGCCAATAAATCAATTCCCCCTCTCAAATCTCTAGCACTTTCTCCTTGTCTGAATTAGTTTGAGAGGAACATTTTTCAAGGCCTCATGAAGGGAAGACTCCTAAATGTATCAGTGATTTTTACACCAACAGTAGGAAAAGTCATGATATATTGTTAGATTACTTTCTTATTTTCTTATGTAGGAATCTTTTGTCATAAAGAGCACTGGTGGAAGATACTAATTCACTAAATGATCACGCCAATAATTTAAAGCTTGCTAAGAGATTTAAGCAAGCAGATAATGACCTAAAGAGACTTATGGTTAAAAATGGGGTTAATATTTCAGCTGTGCATACTTGCCATGCACAGTACTGTAAGTTTTTTCATTTGGCTAGGAACACTAAATGAAGAGGAAAAAAAAAAAAGCTAACCATGATTTGAGCATGTCCGTTTGGAAAAGAACTTGAAGAATCTGCATTGATTGGATCCTGGCAATTTCTCAGTCGACATCTGAATGCATCTTGAACCTGTGAAAACAATATCTTATACTGATTCTTGTGCAGCATCATATACTCTACTCCTATTAAAGATTAAATTAAACGGTATGGAATACAATGCATGCCTTCTTTTTAGCATGCTTAAATAAATCAGAAACAGTAAACATAAATGCTTATTTCTGCCATTTCATACATTTGCTCTATTTTGTGGCTGCTGCAAAGTCTGTCAGTCTATCACACCAAGACTACAGAATTAGATTTACCTATGGACAGAATTAACCAGTAGTCAGTAATGATCTGGTACTCGAGCCAAATCTGTCTTGGATGATAGTATTTGGTTTTCTTTTCGCATTCAGTTTGGTACAGGCCTGATAGCAGGATTACTAGATATACTATTAACCATTGCAAACCAAAATGTATCTTCTGCTTGATAACTCTTAAGATTCTTGAAAGAGTTCTTAACAGTTACTATAATCAGACACATAGTGCTCTCCTAATTATACTTTAAAGAATGAGCCAATTTGAAAGATATTGCTGATTGCAACCATAAGGTCCAACTCCATCTATAGGGAAACTCATGCATCTCTGCTAGGAGTAAAACTCTTCAGACCAACTAAATATCTTCAGTGTGAGCACAAGAAGAAAAGTGGACTGTTTGCACAGAGTCCAGTTTCTTGAAACTAAAAAAAAAAGGGAACTTCTCAGAAATTGCTATTTACTAATATGATCCACAAAGTAAATTTGAAGACTTGAAACACAAGTATATTTGAGGAATTATCTTTTCATAGGAAAGGCTTTTCTTTTACTTTGATTTTGGGCAGAATGTAGGTCTTTAAAATATCATTACGCAACACCTATGTCAGAAAGATGTTCAACAGAGAGGCACATTCAAAACAAAAATGCAGTTCCTGTTTGCTAACAGTAGAATGGACATACATTTTGCCTTTTCCTCACACATACCACAGTAGGGACAGCAAGGCAACTTTTGGAATGAAAAGGAATATTTTTACCAATACTTTAAAAGTATACAATATTTCTTTGAATGCAAAGCGTAATTCGTTTCACTGCTATGCGTATCCTCAGATGCATTCTAATATAGCAATACAATCTAAGTTTTAAAATGCAAATTTTCATTCCAGAAATGTAAGTATCCATATTTGCAAGCTGACTGCAAGATGTGACTTGGAAAACAGGAACGTAGTTGGGTGACCTCCGCTCAAACCAAACTAATATCATCTCTTGTCTGAATCAAAAAATACCCTCAGTGAAATGCCTACAAAAATCTACATTCCATTTATTATCTGTAGAAATTACTTGATGTCTTATTCAGAACAATTAAAAGGGAGAAAATCGTATTTTCCTCATGATCACTCTGTGACCAGCAGAAGAGGATAACTCATTAATTGTTGCTGAGGAAAGGCGTCCCCTTTCAATACATCATATTCTACTGCAAGCTGTTTAAGAGCTTTCACAAAAGAGAAAATGAAATAGAAAAAAATGTTTATTTTTGTAATTAGGAAGCATTATTTTAAAGTGCTCAACACTTAAATGAAAGAGAGTGCTGTACAGTCTTGATAAGTGACTGTTGCAGGTGGAGGAAGACTAGTATAGAGCAGAAAGAAGAATGAAGCAAGGTGGGAAAGTTTGGACTGATTTCAAAACACTGAGACTTCCCACATGTGGTACGGTAATGTAAAGCGTGCTTGACCTGTATCGTGACTCAGATTCTGATTTTAAGCACTACACTTGCTGTGGTTTTCCATGTGTTTGACGCTAATTTAATTTGGCATCTCCCAGTTGTTGCAAATTTAATCCAAGAGTTCTCTCACTTTATCAATGCTGAAGTCAGGTCACACTTCAGACTTTCATGCTCTTGGATGAGCACTGGCACAGTGATTTGACAAAAACATAAAATAAAAATTCCTCCCTCCAAAGTATCCCCAGCTGTGCTAATCTCATCTCAAGCCTGATGACGCTTGCCCCTGAAGCATTCTTACTTCAGAACACGCTATGCGACCTCCCTCTCTCTGCAGGGGCCCTCCTTAGTTTTGGGGCTCTGTGTGCATGAAGCTTCCCCAGTTCAGATAGCTCCAGAGATCTCAAGAATCTCATGTCCTACTTTCACTGCTTTCTGTATTAAAGCGGTGAATCTTGATGTTAGCATTCTCTTAAATGGGCATGTTTTTTATAATGTTTCTGAAGTGCAAGCAGCATATGATCTCAACATGTTAACAGAATGTCAAACGTAGCCGTATCCATCATATCGACATATGTTGCAACTTCTAGATGTCCTCACACAAGTCAGAAACAAAAAGGTTGAACTTTCCAAATACCAGCTTATTTTCCAAAACTGCTTGTTCAAACTTGTTGTTTGAGCAATTAAAGGCTGTGCTGTCTTTACATTTTATAATCTTCCCCGCCCCCCCCCCCCCCCCCACCCCCCCCCCCCCCCCCCCCGCTTTTAACATCAAGTTACAAGATTTTCTTAGAGCCAGGCAGAGCGGGGAGACAGATGTGACGAACGTGCGGGTACCAGGGAAGTGGTTTCCTTAGCAACAGCAACCAGCTCCAAGCTTTTATAACTTACCCTCTCCCTACTCACGCACTCTTTATTTTTCTCCTGCAATACAGAAATGTGGGCTTTAAGCACCAACGATGCATTTAAGCCAAATGCTCTCCAGTCAGCAGAGCACAGCAAAAGGAGAAAACACACGTGAGTTCCTCCCATCACCAGCATTAACAGGAGTTACTCACTGGGATTCAAATTACTCGTGTTCCAGCAGGTCAGGCAAACCATTTTGCTCTGATGGAGAAGCTTCAGCACCAACCTCCTCTATCATGCTCTGTTCTGAGCATGCCTAACCACCTTCCAATGCCCAATTAGATATTTAAACAGCAAGAAGAGGAAAAAAAAACCAACTAGGTTCTCTGGACTAAGAAGGCAACATAAAGCAATAATACCTCCTACTTTGCATTGTTCTTTCCTAATTTCCAAATGGCCTATAAGAGGACTCATGCTTAAGAAGTACTACATTTAGCTTAGAAGTTAGGAAATGGAAGAATAGAAAGATTTAATGTCTTTCCAAAAGACACTGATGGAGGGCAGAAACAGACACAACACATCACTTAGTTCTCTTCTAGTTATATGTCTTATGCGGTGAACCTCCCTGGCTTCCTAAGGCAGCCCTTGTCACAGAAGATCATTTAGGCAGCATACTAGAGAAAGTAAAAGATGTTTCCATCATTTATGTTTATATCAATATAACTAAGAGGAAAAACAGGGGCTTTATATATATAATTGCAAAAGTCTGTGTCTTTTTGTAACACAGCAACAATAAAGGCATAGTAAAGCAGGGCTGTCCTCTTCTTTCTTTGAATTTTGTGGTGATATATTCCACCCCATATTTTTTTTCCTGACAGTCAGAATTATTGTTTTGCCTGTGCTGGCATGCTATAAATATTAGATCAATCCTATAGGCTATAACTGAGATAGCTTTGCAGCTGTCATCAAGAGTGACAAATATGTTGGCAGGGTTTCTGTGACAGGCTCCGGCACAGCGAAAAGCTTTTGCGGCGAACAGAAAGTAAGAGAGCATCCCTTCAGCCGGGAGGTGCCCCGAGTGCTGCAAAGACCATGCTGCACGCTCTGCCCGACAGCCGCTCTTGCCTTGTGCCCACCTAAGGTCGCAGGGGCCAGAAAGCCAGACACTAGAGAGCTGTATTGGAACGTAACTCACTGCAGTTAGGTCTCTTTCTGAGTAGGAACTTGTTGCAGTAAAAAATTAGGTCTTTGCTGCTGCAAACTGGTCCATGTAAGTGCAGACCAGACACATTTTTGAAACAAAAATTGTTTCAAGTGCATCAATTTTTACTTCTTTGCTGTTCTTGAAGAACTTTCTATTCATTTTCTTTTCCTATATTAAAAAAAATTACCTTAATTAGTTCCTCAAGTGTTTTGCCCAGTTTGTAATTTAAATCTGGAGGACTAAAGAAGATTCAGTGTGTTCTGTCAAACAGAGCTAAAACAGCAATATGCCCAGGCTTCTTCATCTTTCACCACCACCACTATCACCATCTTGACTGGAGATAATCTACTGATTAGTGATTAAGTTGTCTCTGTACATTTACTTCTGCCTGAGTTGTCATGACTGAAGAAAAAACTCCTTCCCCTTTTTGATAAGGTATGACCTTAACCAAACCTAGGTGCTTTTTGGGCCTCATTGGGAAGTCTTCTTATAAGGTCATTTTTCAAAATACCACGTAGATAGATTGATTAGCTGTTTTATCAAATGTCTTTCTTCTAGAATTTCGGTGCTAGGACTAGGAGGTGTAAATGCCAAGACTGGCTTGCAGGAGCAACTTTAGGTAGTTAAACAAAGTAATGATTCTTTGCAGTTAGATGAGATATGTACATGTGATTTGCTAAAAGAGCAGCAAATAAAACAAACCATAACTAGCTGATTGCTTACACACAAACAATTGTGAGTTTAAAATGGTTCAAGTCAAGATACCCTACGAATTAGAAAACTGTGCTTACTTATAGAAAAGACTAATTCAACCTCTATCACCACAGTCCTACCTGTGAGTAGGGTCAGACAAGAATGTTTCCATGAGATGTTCAGCAATATCAAAGCACTCCCTGGGAATGAAGCATTTGCAGCAAATAGCTGTCATTAGT